CTTCACGTGATCAACCAATCATTTCTTTTTACGGTTCTTACGGCCATCAGTGGTTCCATCGGACTTAAAACCATGTTTGATGGCCTGGCACAGGGAATAGTACTTAGTACCATCCTTGCTTATGAAGACCTTGTAGGTCCCTCCCTTCAGTTTTCCTGTCAGCCTCCTCCTGGTTTCGAGTTTCCAGCCGTCCTGGACATCAGCAAGATGAATAACTTCGAATTTCCTTGGCTAGCTAGTATGGTCTGACCTAGTGGATGATTTTGGAATGTGCTGGTCATGTTATATAACATATTGAAACAACAAATTATGCCATTGATGGGTGCCTATTGCATACCAAGTGTCGCTGACTTACTCTTTGGCTTCTTCGAGTTTATTAGCTCTAACTGTTCAGCTGGACAGGGTACTGGTGCACTGGCTTTGTCTAATGCTGCTTGCTGGACTCTTGAAATGACAACTTTGAACGAAGCATACGAGAAGTCCTTCGCATCCACAACGTCAACCAGGGAAGAAGACTCCTAGCCAACAAAGGATTCCCATGATTCCCCTTTGAGATTTACTGACTCTATATATCATGACTATATCTGGGACTATGTTCTGGGCTGTATATCGGATATGCTGGGTTATCTATTGGAGCTATTCGGGGCTGTACAGGGCTTTAGGCATGGGAATGTGTAGTAACATAAGATATCATAAGATATCATGCATATATCGGTGAGATAATATGTGGTACATGCAACCAATCCCAAACAAGCAAATTCTATCGCACTGAGGACCCACCGAAGGCTCCTCTGAGCGCTTTGCCACACGACGTGGAGGTGCAGCAGCTGCTGGAGCAGCTGGTTTCGGAGCAGCTGGCTTCGGGTCGGGGGTCAAGCTTCCTGGGCAGTGGTCACAGGCCCAAAGTCTGGTTGTGTGTTGGGATGTGTTGGGTATCAGCTGATAATATGGATTAAATTGAAATACTTAACTTTTACCTCCTAACCAGTAAACATGTTCATGGTCACCCTGAAACAAAAACCAAGAATCTAGCACTCTTTGCTCGATGCCGATGTCTGGGAGCTCGAGGTGGCTCATCCGACCCCAAGCCTTCGGGTCCTTCAACATCCTCAGTACCTTTCTTCACTGGTTTTCCTGTTCCTTTCACTTTGGGTCCTGGCTTTGCTTCTTCAATCTTCTCTTTGGCTTTCACTTTATCCTTCTTGTCATTCGTCGTGTTCTTGGTGGTGGCCTCTTCAGAAGATGCTGTCAATTCTGGTGGTTTCTCAGATTTAATCTTTTTGGCTTTGGTCCACATATGTATCTCTGACTGTTTGAGTCTTCTCTTAGCCTCGTGTACTGCTTCCATGCTTGAAAGACATGCAGGGATGGGATACTTTGGCCCTGGCGAAGTCCACCTGCGAATGTTGCTTTTTGGAAACTCTTCCCTGACACGGTACCCTGCCTTTGCAGCCTGCTTTGCCTTTGCAGCCTGCTTTGCCTTTGCAGCCTGCTTTGTCTTTGCAGCCTGCTTTGTCTTTGCAGCCTGCTTTGCCTTTGCAGCTTGCTTTGGCTTGTCATCTTTCGGGCTATCATCACCTTCATCCTCACTGCCGGAAGTCGAATCCTCAGGCTGTTCCATGGATGAGATGCTGATGTCATCTGTTGCGACCGAATGTTCATCATCCTCCTGCTCATCATTTTTTGAAACCTTTGCTTTGTCTGCCCGGGTGCATTTCATTGCTTTCTTTGGTGCTGCCTTTGCTTTTCCAGTCTTGGCATTCTTTACCTTCGACATCACTTGCTGGTCAGACATACCAACAGTACTGAAGCCTGCAGCCGCAGCACTGGGTCGGCCAAGAGGACGTGCTTGTGCACGTATGGTCGCAGCTTCCTTTTGTTTTGCTTGCTTTTCATCATCATCTTCTGAATCACTCTTGTCACTGCTGTCTGTTGAAGAATCTTCATCTTCGTTGCTGCTGCTGCTGCTTTCTGCTTCTGCTGTCTCGTCCTTCTGGTGCATCGCTTCATCCTTGTCATCCACTGGAGCTTCACTCTTCTCATCCTTGTCTTCATCTTCTTCACCAGACAAAGCTTCACTATGATCTTCGCTTTTGGCGTCCTCTTCTACCAACGGTTTCTCGTTCCTATGTGGCATTGCTTCATCATCCACATTGTTCTTCTTCTCCTCAGCCTGTCCATCTTCATCTTCATCACTCTCATCTTCGCTGCTGCTTTCATCAGGTGCTTCTTCCTCAACCTTCTGTTCAGCAGTCTGCTTTTCCTTTTCATCTTCACTCCCATGGTTGCCATTTTCGCTGCTGCTTTCATTTTCTGGCTGCTGCTGTTCATTGTCCCTTTTCTCAGCCTGCTTCTCTTCGTCATGATCTCCTTCGCTACTGCAAGCTTCATCATCACTCCTTCCATCTTCATTTGTCTGCATTGGGGTCTCATCATCTTTCGCCTTTGCTTCTTGTCCAGGGTCTTCATCACTGGAGGCTTCATGAGCGCTGTCTTCGCTGATGCTTCCTTTGCCTGCTGGTTGCTGGTCACCTTCATCAGTGCTTGAATCCTCATCACCATCACAGTCACCAGCGTTGCTGCGTTCATCTTCTGCAGAGCTTTGTTCTTTCCAAACCTCATCTTCTGCATCTTTCATTACTGAAACTGTTTCTTTTTCACCTCATCCTCTTCCCCGCTTGTTCCACATTCATCTTTGTCAGCATCATCGTCATCACTGCTGCTGTTCTCCTCTTCAGGGTGCTCCTTCTCTGCAGTCTGGATTTCTTTGGCATCATCCGATGCACTCTCTCCGTCAGAAGTCACGCGTTCATCTCCGTCTCCATTCACTTCATCATCATCGTTATCACTTCCAACAGAGCTGGACCGTTCTGATTTTTCTTTGTCCTCACTTTCTGCTTCATCCTCTTCAACCTGTGCAGCTTCCACATCCACTGCTTTCATTGTCTCAGTATCATCTTCATCTGCACTGGGTGCTTCTGCATCATCTTCCTCCATGCTGGATGCATCTCCTCCGTCCGAGTTGCATGCCTTTGCGACTTCTTCATTCTTTTCAGTGCCTTCTAAGTCTTCACTGGAGCTGCAGCCTGATGAATCTTCGTCTTCACTTTCTTGCCCTTCACTTTCTGTAGCTTTCCGCTTCGTGCCTTTTCCTTCTTCTTCGCTTTGCTCCTGCATTTGGGTAATGTTCACATGGGGAACTATGGTTGTAAATCCGTGGGTATAGGTTTTGGGGTGACCATGCTTAGGCCCATCCCATCTCAAATAAACAAATTCAAACATACATATGTTAAAGTTTAACCAAATGACATCGATTTCGGTATCAGAAGGGTGAAGATCCATGTCATCATCAGGCAGTCTGTCGTCGAAGAATTCGCGTTGAGGTTCAGAGTCAGTGATTTCAATGATAGCTTTGGACCCAGAATTTTTCCTTAGTTACAAAAAGGCAATGGGGCTGATGTGTTTTTGTTACTGAAATAAATTTATCTAAGAATCATTTGGTGGTCATCCAGGATGTCGAAAGGCATCTCAGGCATAGGTTGGGTATCAACTTCATCAGGGTTCCTTGGGTGGATGGAATGGAGAAATCACATTTACATTAAATGTATTCATCATAGAAAATGCATAATACATTCACTTCCCAGCTGCGTGGTTAACGTGCTGCTGCTGGAACTGGATGGTCTGAAAGACATTTTTTTATGTCGAAGTAGCACTTTGTGGCATTTCCCAGCCTCAATTGTCATGAACTGATCAAAGAATTATCGTTGTTTTCCCAGGTAAGGGTAACCAAATAAAAACAACAATGGTTAAGTTCTCATGCAGCTGTGGTGCTTGGTCCCGTATCCATGAATCAATGTCCGCTTTCTTGGTGAAGGGGCCTAAGATAAGACAACTCATGGCAGACCCCACCTAAAACAGGCTGAATTTAAGTAATTATTTCAGAAGTGGTCAACCATGCGCCAAGATACAAAGAGATTTGGTTGTGGATATCTGTTGGATTATCCTCCTAATTTCAGCCTCACGTAGAGCCCGACTCAGGTTGGCATCATCAAATGCCAGCCGCAACCATTGGTTCCCTAGGCATCGTAGATCCCCACCAGGGACAAACTCTTGGTCTTCCTTCACAGAAGGCGGCATATGCTTTTCCATAGACTTTCGAAGAAGCCTAGGATGTTGGAGAGATTGACCTAAAGATATGTTACGCTGGCACCAAGGTGATCTTACATCATATAAAAATAAGGACAAGGCACTGTCCCTCAGGGGAGAGGTCCTTCAACTTGGTCCCAGGGTCAGGCAAAGGCATTTCCATGGCTTCACTAGGCTTGATGCCACAGGAATCTTATATAATAAACACCATGATTACCAGCCATGGTTTTTGTTCATTGTGGCAAACCTACCATTTTTATGTTTAATGTATTATCTAATGGAAGGTTGGGTTCCCCTACAGGCCCATGACCCATGATCTTCCATCATTCATTGCTCTATGTTCTTCATCTGAGCCGCAGGTCCTTGGAAGAGCGAGCAGGGCCTGTCATCGCCCATCAAGGGCCAATCAGCCCATTCCCAACACATCCCTTCAATAGGGTCACAACTCCTCTGATTATAGATCAACTTATTTATATATCAAAGGGTCACTTAGCATAAGAAGTGACCTTTTCGATCTATTAAGTGACCTTTCGAGGTTTTTTTCTTAAGTGACCTCAAGTCATGGTCACTTTGACAGACCTGGTAAATATTATATTATCATAATATCATATCATACTTGTAATATAAAATCACATAGAACATATTAATATTAATGTATCTACAGTATATAGACTCAAGTAATTTCAATTGTGGAGCCTGCAATGTCGCAATGCAACCTCATAATGCAGTCTCTTATCCTATCATACTCTGTCTATAGATGCAGCACTTGCTCTTCATATTTGTTATGATTTGATATTATTTGTTCATGTTGGACATCGGTAGCCAAATTTGATCCGAGATTTCCCGACTGGGAGGCCTCTACCCGCACTGCTTTAAGGGCCTCCCTTCAAAGAGCCGAGTTCCGGGACCTGGCAGAGCATCCTGCACTGGACGTTGCAAGGACACAGGGCAGTCAAGACATGTCGAAACGTGTCAACACCTTTTGGCATCCTTTTCGCATCTTTTCGCACTTGTGCAGTTTTGGTGCAAGCTCCGCAATATCTTGTAAAGTTTTGCAACATTGTTGATTCATGCTGCGTGTAAGCTATGGAAGGGGCAGGATCACATTTGCCTATGCACATGGCACATATCTCAAAATCAGTTTAGGGAGCAGAACTGTGGTGTAAAACTACTTGTCATCAATACTTTGATATTTGATGATATTTGTATCAATGAGTAAACGCTGCATATACTGTAAATACATGATGTCACAATATGTCACATGTATAACCATGATTAACAATGTAATTTGACAAAAAAAATGTAGTAGGCTTGGATGATCTCGATTTTACTTCCATGACTTGCCCTTGAAGTTTGAAGTGCAAGGAGAAAGCTAGCAGCCATAGACAACCTGCGGGAGGCTTGTTGAACTTTGTTGAACTGACTTACTTGCAGGATTGCGTTCTAGCATGTAGCAACGTAGAGATATGTCACGACATGCAACTCATGTCTCTACAAAGCTACGAGACTGCACCAGGTAGCAGAGCAATCAGATGATCCTGGCACTATCGAAGCAGCCCTCGAACAAGCAAAGCGATTGCGAGTGGATCCTGATCTCATCAGCAGCGCCGAAGGCATCTTAGACAGGCGGCCTGATGTTTCTTTAGAATTGAAATTCTCACATGTTCGGCAGGGATTTGGCGATGCACCGGAAAGCAATGGCACAAGAGAAGGAGCAGAATTGTTGGAGGAGTAATGAGAACATCAGGAAGACCATAAAAAGCTGCATAGTCTCAAGTGTAAGCAGAACAACGAAAGCAGAATAGGTGTTGGATGGTGTTGGAAAAGGTCGAACGCAACTTTAGCGAGAATAATCAACGAACACATTCGACACATATAACTGAGTTGAACCGGATTGAACTGGAACCAGCCAGGGAGATGGGGATCAAACGCTTTGGCCTCAAACATGGCGTGGTGATCGAGGAGAGGGGAGGCGAAGCGCTACCAATCCCTTATCAGGACAGAGCACAGATGTGATCAGATGTGGCTGAATCATTCTGAATCTGTTTGTTGTACAACGGTCTTCTCGATTTCGAATGAGGAAGCAAAAGAAGCAAAGATGTAGCATGATGTGGCACAAAAAGCAAGCTGCAAGAAGAATTACAGAAACATGAATCAACACCTGTTATTGAGTTGTCCTCAGCGGAGTGTATCATTCCAGAACAAAGGGCGCTTTGTAACTGATGATGGTGAAGGAGCGCTTTCGTAGCGAAGACATTTTCTTTCTCTTGATTGATGCCTCTAGGCAGCAGAATGAGTTAAGGGTGAGGACTAGGCAGAGACACGGTGGTCTTGAGCTGCCAACTTTGCTATGCCGCTTGGTCCAGCTCAGGTATTCAGGAGCCGAACTCTTCAGCAGGTAGCTATGCCAGTAGTTATTTGCAACCTGGATCAAATTGACACCGAGCTGATCAAGAACATTAAACAAATGTTCAATATAGTTAGATCATGTTAGATCTACTAGTACTTAGAATTATAGATATATATTTATATAATTTTAATATAATTGGATGAGTTGAGTTGATAGTTAGTTTTGATAGTTTGGCGCTTCTCACCTTCCAAGTCCAGATAAGCCCAAGCCTTGGAAGTCATTGGGAGCAGCTTTGAACACTTTGATCAAGGCACCCTATGGGCAATGGTTTGCGCTGCTGTTAGTTCGAGACATCACCTGGCTGAGGGCGCTTGGAGGCAAGTGCCTTCGTTGGTTGCATACAGTTGCTCTGATATGTTTGCTTCTTTTCTGGAACTGTCTGGAACATGCTCTAAGAATCATCTAGGACCATTTATAGATACATCAATTATCCTACATATCTATACATATCTAAATTGGTAGAAACTTGCAGTGAGCCCCTTCCGCAGTAAGTTTTTGGTGCCAACATCCGTTGTTTTTCCTGCTGCAGGTTGAATCAGTTCCTGGTCACTCCGTTGGGCTTGCTGCTAACCTTTCGAACCCAGCAATCGATCACTCGCTTCAATGGAGCAGTCGACCTCTGGAGCAAGGTTTCCAGCGCATGCAGAACTTTGTCCAGAGCGTTATTTTACCAAGATGCCCGAATTCCCCTGGCATCTTGACTTTGACAATGGTCGCTCAGACTGTCAGACTTGTCACTTGATGATGGCCCATGACCCAGGGTTCTTGGTCCCAAGCCTGTGGCAGAGTGTAAATGGGGGTTGTCCAAAATTATGGTACCCGAAAACGCCCTTACGCCGCGCTTTCGCGAACCTTTCGCGCCCTTTCGCGCCCCAGCAGAATCGGGACGTGAGATTATGATCAGGTTTTCGTTTACTTATAGGTTTATAAATAATGGTATTCAGACCCTTCGCGAACCTTACGCCGCCCTTTCGCGGCCTTTCGCCACTGCAGCAAAACATACACATCCATATCTGCAGATGTCACTCGGATACTAAAAGCCTTGCATGGGTTTTAGGACGACTCCCAAATGGGTGTAGAGCGTAAAGGATAAACAATTATTTTTCAGCTTATGAGTTGTTTGTGTTGTCTAAATTGTATGCTGTTTTTTTTGCATCAAGAGTGGCTGTTCAGCACATTCCTGCAATTTTTATCAGCCTCTTTTAATTAGATATTCTTGGGCAACTTCTGTGAGCGGCTGCACAAAAGTACAGTATGCGGATCAATATACGAGGAAAGTCTTTGCAGAAACCTAAAGGCGGCAATGGGTCACACGCTATAAATAATAACAAGGGTGGAACGGATTGGAAAAGGTATTTTGATGCTGATTGTGGTCACCAGCTCCAGCGCAAGCTCACTATGGTACAACAAGTTTCAATAAATGTTTTACCATGTCTTTCCGTCCTTGATCGGCAAGGAGAAGCACTACAGCCTAGCACAGCAGATATGCCTTTTCCCTGCAGTGCTGAGAGAGCATTTGGAGAACCGTCGCACAAACAAACTGTTGAACATCCGCCGTGATGACGTCAGCAAACCTATTGCTCTTTTGGATCAGATCCAAGCTCAAATTTTCTCCTTGAAAGAGCTCGATGTATCCGCCCCTTGTCGAGTAATATCACGTCATGCCAATGAGTGGTGAATGTGCAAACACGTGATGACATGCTTGGAATGCTTGGGCCCACTGTGTGAATACATGGTCAAGGAATGTCAAGGATATGTTGATTCCATCACAAAAAGTCTGAAGAACCCGCTTCTCTGGAAATTGGTCAGAGATAGATTCTTTTTGGCCAGCGGCTTTCTTTACAGTTTCAAACTGGCGAAACATGTCAGGAACGAAATTGGCTCCTGAAACCCGTTGAGCAACTCTCCGATTTGGTGAGCCCTTGTGAGATGATTGTTCAGACTCCAGTCCCGCAGAGCTATGACGCTAGCCTGCATTCCACATATTTCGACATATTTCGACATATTTAACCAACAAGGAAGACAATGAAAGGCACACTGAGACACACCGTTCTTTCAGTCAAGGCTACTCCACCTGCTGTATCATACTGTAGCCGGTAGCCATGGGAATGGGCCTGAGGTTCGGCATACTGGGCGCTTTTTGGCAGTATGGCTTCTCAGCCTCCCGCTTTCGCTGGCATCCCATGCTGGTTGGCTTATGGTTTTAATTGATCTTTGGCGACGTGTTTGGACCATGTCCAATATCACAACATATTATTATATTCTGAGTGCAAAAGCTTGAGCCCACCATAGCCCACCGTTGCGCGTTTATCGATTGAATTTGCGATTGAAACGCTGGATTTCCATTGATTCCCTCATCGCTAGAGTCATAAAGCGACTCGGGGATGAAGTAGAAACAGATCACGGAAGATCGAGTTAATTTTGAGTCTCGCTTCTTGCACAAGGTTTCCAAATGGCCAAATGGTAACAAATAATTATATATAATGATAAATTATTAATTAGATATGTACTGACATGTATTGACATGTATTGACATGTATACTATAACGTTGCAGACTCATTGCAAACTCTCCACATCGTTCCGCTCGAAGAAATCAAATCATGCTGAGGAACTCATCGCGTCATGGTGCCTCTTCGCCATCCAGGAGTAAAGACTGAGTACAACAACCGAAGCGGCCGAAGGTTGTTATGAACTGTCGAACTGTTACAGTAATTACTAGAGGTAATATGACGTAATCACAATGTGAAGCACCTAAAAGAAGAATATATAAGGCAGTATGCATATATATATATATATAAATAATATAATTATTTATAATATACATACCACTAAGCAGATCCTAAAGCTATACAATTTCAGGCTTGCGCTTGTCATACTTCGAGTTTTAGTTTTGAATTCAAGTTGCTTCTGGTGACCTCTCAATTCAATTTCTTGAATTGCCATTTTGCTTATGTTCTCCTCCATAGCTTATCCTAATGATTTTTAAACTTGAAAAAATGCAAGAAAAAAGGAAAACACATGGAAAATCAAAAAGCAAAACTTCAAAACTGAACAAAAACCGGAAGCAAAGTAAATGGGGAAAAAAGGAACGTCAACAAGGGATAAAAATGGGGAAAAAATGGATTTGTCCATTTGCATTTTTTTTGGCATTGTGTTTGCTTTTTCGATTTGCATTTTGTTTGCTTTTATTTTGTTTTTTTTTGGGGGGGGGGCTTTTTGCCCATTTTTCCCCTTTTTGACTGAATCGGACAAATCGGAAAAGCAAACAAAAATGTAAATGGACAAGTCCATTTTTTTCCCATATTTTTCCTTTTTGACTGTCCTTTTTTTCCCCCCTTTTTTACCCTTTTATTTTGCTTTTGTTTTTTTTTGATTTTGCTGATTAGCTTTTTGGTTTTTCCATTTTTTTTGCATTTGTTTGGTTTTTTTTTCAAGTTTGTTGATTCTTAGAATAAGCTATGGTCTGGTGAACATAACATTTTGCTTTCTGTTTGTTATGTAGAGTTTCTGCTGCGTGTTTGCTGTGTAGTTGCCGCTGCTGTTTTCTATAGTTCCAAGTCGTAATATACGGGCTTTTAGTCACCAAGATGACTCTGTGTGGTGTGACCGCAAGCTCATCTCTGCCTCTGTCAGTTTCATTCGACGAGATAGCGCTGCAGAGAGAGAACCTGAAATTCTGTATCCTGAAGTCCTGAAATATATTTACGAGTATCAGGCAATATATGCATGCGCATTTGTCTATTGTACATACTGGTCCAATTGCTCGGTCCTTCTATTCCTCGGTATCCTCCTGAATTCCTGTGAATTCCTTCATTTTCTTCTCCACCTCCACAACCCTCGTGGCAAAACACAAACATACTCGGTGTATACAAACCATCTGCGATCCTGCGTGGCTGCATGTGGCTGCATTCCTCAGGAGATCGGCCTGCGCCTGGAAGATCCTTTTAATGGCGATTTTGCAGCAATGAGTCGCGAGATGTTGTGACGCTTGTGTGTCATTCATGAGTCATTAGTGAGTTATGCATGTGTTATTTGCATTTATTTGCGAGTTACTCACAAGTTTTGAGTCCGTTGTCAACTGCTGTATTTGTTTGACCTTGACAAGGCCAGATTGCAATGAACATTTTCATCAAGACAGTCAAGAAAGAAGTGCGTCAAAGATACGTCATGCTCCTTGCAGCTGGGCCTTGTGGGCTGGGTCTTGTACAAGATCATCACAGATGATCATAGAATGACTATAATGTATCATCATTTTGATCACATATAATATTCAGATACGGTGAATGGCAGCTGATATATGATACGTTGACACTTGCTTGTTATTGATTCTGCATTTTTTGGACCATGCAGCCCAAATATGCAGACATGAAATGAACGGGATAGCGGGTCTGATCTTGTCGTGCCAAGGAATCACGAAGCGTGCTGATAGGTGCCGATGAAAGTGTTGAAAGTAAATTGCAAAACTGGAGCAACGCTGTTGGTTTTAAGGGCAAAACCGTGGCAAAAGGATGTGCTTGTAAGAGCTCTTTCTACTATATGATCTATATGGTGTTGTTCTTACATTTTTCCACACTGAGGAAGAGCTTCTTCAAGCACATGCGGATGGACATTTGGACGACGCAGTGAACCAGTGGTCTCATCGCTTTGATGACAAGCTGCTCGAGGTCTTGGAGGATGAGCAGCGTTTGGAGACCGCCGAGCTAGTTGGCTGCACATGGCATTCGCTCATGAGATTGTATACATCCCCCTCTCTACCCCCTCTATCCCCCTCTGAAAATCCTTATCCCTGGATGATTTCCAATCAGTCAAGATAAGGCTGGAATAAGCCCTTTTCAGGGATTACCAGGGATAAAAGAACAAACACAACTTCAACAACAGTTTGCTTCGTGTTTGAGCGAGCGGCCTCTGGGTGGAACAGCCATTCATTGATTGAAGTCGGGGCAAAAACAATAGAACATAATGTTAGCTTATCCTTCAGTTTTTGCTATCATGAAAGTGCTGATATTGATGTGTTGATCAAAACATCTCAAAACAAATGCGGCGACAGTAAAAAGCGAATCTTGCGTCATCAAATATCGATGATTAAACATAAGATTTTGATGCAACTTGATGTCATATAAATCCACGTAATTAGATGCAGTAGAACAATGAAAACTATCATCACATCAAATTTAAAAGCACACGAAAGAGTTCGAGAAAAAGCTCCTTTCTGGAAATTATCCGGGACAATTCTAGAGGTAAAAGGAGGACACATAGCCATAAAACAATGAAAAACCTAACACAAAAAAATGGAAGATGAAAATGAGAAAAACATGAAAAGAAAACAATCAGAATTTCCAGTCCATGGCCGCCTGAGATTAACACAAATTGAACCCATTGCCTTTTTCTTGTGGACATTGAGCGCTCCGACGTGATCCCATTTGGGATCGCAATGGATCACATGCGCCCGACCCATGGCTGAATGGATATGATATCATTATTTGTCATCCAGTTTGAGAGTTGCGATGTGACACAGCAACTCAACATCGGTGGGCCTGGGGTTGTTGTTCCAGGGTTGCAGGAAACATCAGGTGCCACACTTATAGTATTACAAACAGAAAACATTTGAACTATACATAGCTATACAAATATATATATATATAATTTTATATAATTATACACACATATATATATGTAATAGTAAAAAATAGCTTGCGAGCTTAGCGCGGCAAGAAATAGCAGGCCGAGTTCCCCGCGCAGTCTTATAACAGAATGGGATGTTCAGGTACACCCCCACCCAAATCAGCCCCATGCGTCCACACCAGGTATCAACCAAAACAAGTGAATGAATTGAACTGAGGAACATGTTATGTTTGGACTCTGGGTTCTCCCTATTCCATTTGGTGTATGTCCATTGCAATACTGTTCTCAAAGCCGTCAACGCGTCAGGACACTGGAATTTAGGGAATTATCATTGACATGTTTGGTTTCCGAATGTTTCCGATGGGGTCGTCTTAGTTGAGAAAAGCAACCAGGAAAAAAAATGGCACTAGAGCCAACAGTCCTGAATACCAATTGTCAAGGCCATTGTCCCGTGCCTACGTTAAATCTTACCTAAATACATGTGGGTTTCCAGTGAGATCCCACTGCTTCATGTTTTCACCTTTCGTTTTGGCCTTTGCTTCTTTCACACGTTTTTTTGCGTTGACCTCTCCATGTTTCAAGCCTTTCTGTTTTTTCCTTGTGCTATTTCTGCGACTCCAGTGTTGACAGCTTCCCTTTTCTAAAGACCCTAGCCTCTAGTTCTAACATCGTATACTCCTCCAGGGTTGTTTTCGTTCACTGGCTCTCACATGCACACATCGTTTTTGAATGAGCAGCTTGAGCCATGATTGGACTGACTGGGAAGCCTGTCATGCATTACCTTATTCAGACATATTCAGACCGTATTCTGAGAATAAGAAAATAAGGTCGAAATGGTGCCAAGATAGCTATTTCAGCTCTATTTTGTGTTATTTTGGTGATTTGGAAATAAGACCTTGTTAAAGCATGTCAAAGCCTTATTAAGCTCTTAATAGACCCTTACATATTTTCTTTAGGAGGGGGGGATGGGGGTAGTATACCATCCCATGATTCAATTTCAAGGAAGTTCAGGACTGCACTTGTGTGAGGGAAACTTTGCAGGACCCCCCCCCAACAACTTTGGGGTTAGAAACACACCAGATTCTTACTTTTTTCCCAAATTTTGGCATAAATCAAATCCGATCATTCAACTGATGCCCTGAAGACATTGCCCTGATTGTTTCATGAAGAGTCGAGGCCCCAAAGGTCACCCTTTAAAGGTGTCCCCAAAAATAGATTGTGTCAAGTCTTGCAGTGCATTCAATTGCATTCAACTTGCAGTCGCCACATGTGGGCAACGGTTTTCCCAAACTCAATCTCTCATCACAACCACGATTCGCTTCAGTACAATCTTTAATCATTTTCCTTTCATCGAATCTTTATGTTTTTCCCATTGATGTTAAAAATACTGCCGCATGGCTCACTGGCATCCAGGGCCAGTGTTCCGTGAGAAATGATTTGCCCGGCAAAGCAGAGGGGCAAGAAGAATTGAATTTTACGCCTTTTCCGCTTCGATTTCTCCACCTAGGACTCGACAAACTATGCTTGTTGCCGTGGAACGTGGTGTGAAGCAAGCACTTGAAGCCTGAGACAATTTGAGACTCGCAGCGTGGGAACAGTGTCGTCCAAGATTGCACCTTCATCATTGTCATGATCTTCATGCTGTCAGATCTGTCAGCGCACTTACCCTGACATTAGCAGCCAGCTTTCGAGCCCAGCTGCCAAAGCAGATGACAGGGAAAATGGTTTGCAATGTTTGCGTGTTTTTTTGGCTGTCTTGAAGTGTGGCCAGGGTTGACCATTTGAGAAGTGGAATGATTTTCACAAATCAATACAAATCAGACATTTGATGGGGTCTTCCAATATCATCCGATAGTTTCTGTTCTGAAGTGAAGTCAATCAGGACATCTTCACATTCGCGATATTTCACGACCAAGCATGTTGGCCCTATGTTGGCAAGTGAATCGCTCAGGCAGAACACCCAGGCATCATGGCCTTTTGGCTGTTCAACACAGCTCGGGCGCCTTGAGACCCCGTCCGGATGCTTGGAGTATCTTGGAGTTGTGTTTCTGCAATGGTTTGCAATATACATTTTGCAATGTTTTTTCCCTGCTACTAGTATTGTAGCAAGAAGTCATTGCCGGTTAATGTTGGTTCCTGATTAGTGTGTGGCCCCCCCCCCCCCCCCCCCCCCTAAACTATAGCTGGACTCTCTTTAAAGTAGAAAGTCAAAAATTTTCTTCCCAAAAGAAAAACATATCCTCAATTAAGTAAGGATTTCAATTGGCTACAATTGAAATCTAATTGCTATTGTTTTTTTTGCCGATGAAGTTGTGGTATTTGTAGTGCTTGTAGTACTTGTAGTACTTGGCGTACTTGTAGTACTTGTCGTACTTGTCGTACTTGTAGTACTTGTAGTACTTGTAGTACTTGTAGTGCTTGTAGTACTTGTAGTACTTGTAGTGCTTGTAGTGCTTGTAGTACTTGTAGTACATGTAGTACTTGTAGTACTTGTAGTACTTGTAGTACATGTAGTACTTGTAGTACTTGTAGTACTTGTAGTATTTGTAGTACTTGTGGTACTTGTAGTACTTGTAGTACTTGTAGTACTTGTAGTACTTGTAGTACTTGTAGTACTTGTAGTACTTGTAGTACTTGTAGTACTTGTAGTACTTGTAGTACTTGTAGTACTTGTAGTAAGGGTTTAATAAGGGATTGGCTCCTTTGGGAAAGGCTTGGAGTTTGAATTTGGCAATTGCCTTTGGGAAAGGCTTGCTTCTCTTCTGGGCTTCCAGGAGCTGCTCTGGCAGAGCTTGCTGCAATAGTGAACCCAGCAAACAAACCTACTAAAGTGAAATGGAGCCTCTCCTGGTCCAGGGCCTTGGAAAATTGTGGAAAAGCTGTTCTTTAATAAGGGTTTAATAAGGGATTGGCTCCTTTGGGAAAGGCTTGGAGTTTGAATTTGGCACTTGCCTTTGGAAAAGGCTTGCTTCTCTTCTGGGCTTCCAGGGGCTGCTCTGGCACAGCTTGCTGCAATAGTGAACCCAGCAAACAAACCTACTAAAGCGAAATGGAGCCTCTCCTGGCCCAGGGCCTTGGGAAATTGTGGAAAAGCTGTTCTTTAATAAGGGTTTAATAAGGGATTGTCTCCTTTGGGAAAGGCTTGGAGTTTGAATTTGGCAATTGCCTTTGGAAAAGGCTTGCTTCTCTTCTGGGCTTCCAGGGGCTGCTCTGGCACAGCTTGCTGCAATAGTGAACCCAGCAAACAAACCTACTAAAGTGAAATGGAGCCTCTCCTGGTCCAAGGCCTTGGAAAATTGTGGAAAAGCTGTTCTTTAATAAGGGTTTAATAAGGGATTGGCTCCTTTGGGAAAGGCTTGGGGTTTGAATTTGGCAATTTTGGAAAGGCTTGCTTCCCTTCTGGGCTTCCAGGGGCTGCTCTGGCACAGCTTGCTGCAATAGTGAACCCAGCAAACAAACCTACTAAAGTGAAATGGAGCCTCTCCTGGTCCAGGGCCTTGGAAAATTGTGGAAAAGCTGTTCTTTAATAAGGGTTTAATAAGGGATTGGCTCATTTGGGAAAGGCTTGGAGTTTGAATTTGGCAATTGCCTTTGGAAAAGGCTTGCTTCTCTTCTGGGCTTCCAGGAGCTGCTCTGGCACAGCTTGCTGCAATAGTGAACCCAGCAAACAAACCTACTAAGTACTTGTAGTACCTCTCCTATTTGTAGGGCCTTGGAAAATTGTGGAACTTGTAGTCTTTAATAAGGGTTTAATAAGGGATTGTACTTGTAGTACTTGTTGTACTTTGAATACTTGTAGTACTTGTAGTATTTGTAGTATTTGTAGTACTTGTAGTACTTGTAGCTCTGGCACAGCTTGCTGCAATAGTGAACCCAGCAAACAAACCTACTAAAGTGAAATGGAGCCTCTCCTGGTCCAGGGCCTTGGAAAATTGTGGAAAAGCTGTTCTTTAATAAGGGTTTAATAAGGGATTTGTTCTTTTGGGAAAGGCTTGGAGTTTGAATTTGGCAATTGCCTTTGGAAAAGGCTTGCTTCTCTTCTGGGCTTTCAGGGGCTGCTCTGGCACAGCTTACTGCAATAGTGAGCCCAGCAAACAAACCTACTCAGATAGAGATGCATTTACAGGCTCAGATAGAGAGAGGAGCAAAAACTTGACTGAGCTACAGCGTTTTTGAGAAAACAATTGCCTCTCAGCAAGTACATTTTTTTTCAAAAAAAGTGCTCTCCCAATTTTGTTTTGCCACAAAAGCGAACCCTCCAAACAATACATGAGTTTCAGAATAATTTGGAAAAATTGCCACAATAGCGACCCTAGCTACTAATCAGGGGCTAACATTAAGACATGGCTATGATTTGAACTTGTCCATTTAGTTATGTATCGGACATTATCGGACTGTATTTGCATGAGCAGAGAATATCAGACATATTCAGACATGTTGGACGTTGTTCTGCGATGTTTTCTTTTTGCTCTGCGCATTTCTGCATATTTCTGCATCATCTGCATGCTTATCAGATGACCTGCCGAGTCTATACTGTGTCTATGCTGGTAGATTTGAGGCGAGAAATCACGCCAGGGTTGTGGCCTGAGTTTCGGACGAGCAGTCGCAGTGAGTAATTAACTGGGGACCTGGCCCGTAAAGGCATTGTATATCAGTATAATTATGATATGTTATATATCATACTATACATTATAATGCTGTAATATTATGTTATATTTTATATATTGTCTTGTTGCATTTATCCGGCTTGTTCTTTTCTTGTTCTTTTCTTGTATGTTGTTGTTGGTGTTGTTGTTGTTGTTGCTGTTGTTGGCTGTTGTTGGCTGTTGTTGGTTGTTGTTGGTTGTTGTTGGTTGTTGTTGGTTGTTGTTGGTTGTTGTTTGTTGTTTGTTGTTTGTTGTTTGTTGTTTGTTGGTTGTTGGTTGTTGGTTGTTGGTTGTTGGTTGTTGGTTGTTGTTGTTGTTGTTGTTGTTGGTTGTTGTTGGTTGTTGTTGGTTGTTGTTGGTTGTTGTTTGTTGTTTGTTGTTTGTTGGTTGTTGGTTGTTGTTGATGTTGTTGTTGTTGGTTGTTGTTGGTTGTTGTTGGTTGTTGTTGGTTGTTGTTGGTTGTTGTTGGTTGTTGTTGGTTGTTGTTGGTTGTTGTTGGTTGTTGTTGTTGTTGTTGTTGTTGGTTGTTGTTGTTGTTGGTTGTTGTTGTTGTTGTTGTTACTGCTAAACTATGGCAGAATGGTAAAGCGATTTTGTTTTCATAGATGGGGGCGGGGGATCTGGTTTCAGAAGCCCTTGGTTTGGATCCTTCGGTTCCTTTCCAGGCCAGGTGACTATGAGTCAAAACCAGGCGCCATGTTCCAGTCTCAGGGGTCCATTGGTAGTTTGTGGTCCGGTTGCGGCAGGACTGGACATGACTGGACATGACTTCACGACCATTTCAGTTTTCTTTTTCAGAACAAGTGCCAGTGTGGATCAATTGTAGTATATTTAATAAATATATATAGTGTGTTTAGTTATCTACAACTTGGCGAACATATTAAGAACGGATGCGTAGGAAACTCATATGCTGATTATGTTGTTCAGAGGCTGGTCCAACATGCTCCAACATGGTTTTCGGACTTGATGATTCCACAGCTCGACAGCTATTGATAGACACAGAATACTGTACAAGAATGAGAACTATGTATATCCAAATCTATATGCAATACATTGTATTACATTGTATAATATTGTATAACTATGTGAACTGTTGACACTATACTATTGCAAACTCTGTGTAGGCTGTGTGGGCTGTCCCAAAGTGACCGGATCCCTACATGAGGTATTTGCATGTATTTGCTGGATCTTGCTGGCATGGGCTGGACTGGCAACAGTTTGGACAGTTTCGCCGCTATTCTATGCTATGTTTGGCTCAGTCCTGGAGAAGGCACATGGAAGCACTATGAAGCACTCCATGACTCGATGATTACGCAACTTTGGGACAGCTGGTTGTGAAGCCCAAAGCTTTGCGCTCGAAAGTCTTAGTTTGGTGTTCCATTGCTCAGCGACAGCCAGCCTATTCGTAATGTGTTACTGTAAGTACCTGAAAAACCGTGGGTCATGCATCCCCCAAGCATGGTCGCATGGTCGGAAACCATCTTTCATGGAAAGTAAGCACAAACCAGCTCGAGAGCCATTACATGCCATCACAAATTCAATCGAAGTGCTCGAACAGTCAAAGTCATGCAACGTCTCCTCTTTTGTTCGGATTCGGACGGCACCAGAAACATCAACAAGCAAAAAGCCTCAAGGAATACATGAATACCTTCTTTGCACCGTTTCATTCAGATAGTATCATTTGCCATGGATGACCCAAATCCATGGGATGCTTTAGATGATGAAGCAGACTCCGTAGAGGAGGCAGTATGTCTTTTGTGCTGCAATTCGCAGGGGTTGCATATCAAAAATATGTTAGAATTTGCATGATTTGCACGAATGATATAATTTTGACAATCAACACATATCATTGGGTATGTCATTAGGTACTGGCAATTTATGTAATTTACATTAATTTACTGGTATGCAGTTCCGATATTTGATGCTCGGACTGACATTGATTTCGTGGGGCTTCCCCGCACCTCTTGACAGCGCATAGGAGGAGATCGTAGTGGAGCCGCTGAATGGAGATCAGGATGATCCCGAACACGATGCAGATGAGGGAGATGGACTGCAATTTGAGGAGGATGAGGACTGGAAACTCGAAGAGGAGTATCAAGATGAGCTGCAGGACTGTTTGCAGCAGACTTCAGTGTATCAGTTGAATTTCTTTCAATGCTCTTTGGATGTTGGAGCACGTTGTGACAGTTGTGACTGGTTCATGAATGCTTATGGCTTATGGTTTCTTTGTGTTCCTCAGTTTGCGCAGCTCTACCAGGAAGAGTTCGAAGAGTTACAACACCTTGCGCAAGAGAAGGAGCCTGGAAGCAACGGGCGCATTTCCGTAACATTCGAGTTCTCAATTTACTGTTTGATACTTGATGATACTTGCGCAGCTGGGGAACTTGATGCCAAATGATTCAAGTTCAGTTTGCTGTGATTTTCTGTGCAACTTCGCTGTTGCAGACGGACTCTCTAGCGACTCTAGCATATGTTTAATTAAGCAACATTACTAACCGAGCCGTGTTTGCTGGAGAGATAGAGGCAGAATGATGCAGACAGTTGGCCTGTGTTTTGGCTTGAAATATTAGTGTTATGGAATATTATGATTATTATGGAATGCTTTCTTTCTGCATCTTGCAGGAGAAAGAAGGGGAGTCAGAGGAGGAGGTAGTACCAGGTCGAGAAGGAGACCTGAAATTAACAGATGTGGCGGAGGATATGCGTGAGGCTGTTCAAGGCACAGCTCAAGGAAATGCATGAAATGTAGAGGCCTTGTTCAATAAAATTGAACGGCAGCCTTTGTATTATATATACATATTATATACTATATATTACAGATTTTGTGAAGCGTCCAGTGTCAACGTCATAGTTCAAGTCTAGAAATGGACAGAATGAGAATGACATCATCATAAAAGACCGGCGTTTACTGCTGGAAGCAGGCAGCTTGAGTTTGAAGCGCATCCTCAACGAGAAGTATGGGAGTGTCATGGAAGCAAGATGTGCATTAACTGCATGCACTTATACGAGCTTTTGGATCCATTAAGATGTCAAAGATTTGCCTTCAAGTTTAGAGTATGAACCGACATGCATCGTGCAATTATTTGTCGTGATACTATACCCAGTCCTCCTGCGACCTTGAGGACTGGATCATGCGCGTGTGCTGACACAAGACTCACTACACTGATGTAATATGATGTAATTTCCCTAACGTAATCATAAACTGCATCAGACGCGGCAGTGAGAGCGTTTGTGCTTGCACGCGCATGTGCAGAGAGGCGAAGGAATGGAGATGAATGGAGGGAGTAACGGGGTACGATAAATATACAATGAACAAATATGAAAAGAAATGAAGATATGAAAAATGAATGAAAAATGATTTGCTTTCCTTTCTTTTCCTCAGCTTTCGTTTTCATTGAATGGCTGGTTTGCGAATCGTCCAAGGCCTTGATGAGTCTGCCAAACGCAGGCGCTTGGAGGCCACTCTCGTTTGCATTTGTGTTGCTTAAAGGATCTTAAAGAGTCTTAAAGGCGTACTGAGAAATGCCAAAAAGCTGTTGGATGTGTTGTTGTGGTGGTGGCGGTGGCGGTGGTGGTGTTTGAAATATCACAAAATCTTCTGAATGGACAAAATACATTCAGAAGCATTGGTCGTGTGAAGCTACTGTCTCTCTTGCTGAAACCATGAGCGCGGTTCCAGGGCCACAGGATGACTTCATGTTGCGGGTTTGCAATCAAGTTCACTTGAAGTTTAGTGGTTGGCCCCACTTTCTCTTTCTGCTGGAGCCACCTGTTAGAAATACATGGGTAGTCAGACACAATTTGTTCAATCAAAAGCCCTCGAGAAGCCTACGGGCCTACTGTAACTGTAGCTTTCTGCTGCAATACGGCCTAATGATTGCCTAATGTGACTACCAATGTATGTAGCCTTGGGACGCACGTACACACATACACAAATTAAACATCGTTTGGCATGAACGTCTTGCAGTTTCTCTTGGAAGCAGGATAGCTTTGTGATTGAATGAAACCGTGAGATACGTTTCATTTATGGCCTCTCCGGACCTGCTGAAATTGAGAGAGAAAGTCGCTGTTCGTATTAATAATGATGATAATGATTGATAATGATAGATGATAATGTCTAATAGTATATAATAATAATAATCATCATCACCATCATCATCATCTTCTTGATCATGATCATGATCATGATCAAGATCATCATCATCATCAACATCATCATCGTCATCATTATCATGATCAAAATCGTCATCATCGTCATCGTCATCGTCATCGTCATCATCATCATCATCATCACCATCATCATCATCATCATCACCATCACCATCATCGTCATCATCATCATCATCTTCTTCTTGATCATGATCATGATCAAGATCATCATCATCAACATCATCATCGTCATCATTATCATGATCAAAATCGTCATCATTGTCATCGTCATCATCGTCGTCATCATCATCATCATCATCACCATCATCATCATCATCATTATCAAGATCATCATCATCATCATCATCATCAAGATCATTTTCCTTGTCCTCGTCCTTGTCCTCATCCTCCGTCTAGCCCTTTTCCCTGTCCTCGTCCTCGTCCTCTTCGTCGTTGTGATCATTATCTCCGTCATCATGGGCATCACGGGCATCTTGAGTATCATAGTCATGCTGAGTCATGCTGATATTTATTGTTGTTTATCTTTGTGTATCGTCGTCCCACCATTTATATCCATTTGTTAGTTAGCTTTGCCAGAAGCAGATGTCAAGCATGCAGTTTCTTTTCCATGGCCTGGATGAGAATGAAAACAAAATAAACTCACAGACACACACGCATCACTATGCTTTTGAGACGTGACTTCCCAGTCACTCCTCGGTGAGGTTTTCATACAAATACAGTGGGGCTTCGTTTACCTCTATCGCCTGAAAGATTCTAAAAACATCTAAAAACTACATAAGTACTAGCTATTCTGATGCGCACGAAGAATTTCTTCATTTGTTTTTGTGGGTGTGAACTGGTTGTATTGTACAAAATGCCCGTTGACCATATAATTCAACCAATTCATTTATAGGATCGATTTCACTCCCAAAGGATCCAAAAGAAAATAAACAAGATGCCGTTGACATCCTTTGTCACTACAAGGGTCTCACCAAAACCCTACAAAAAGAAACAAAACGAAACAAAAAGAAAGGTGCATTGACTTCACTGTTTGTTTCTGTAAATTTTAAAGCGGAATCAGGTTACCGAATATCTCAAGATGATAATATAAGCAGGACACACCTTTCTTCAACTAGACAGGCTGAATCTGAGCTGGATCCAGAGCGTCGTGAACTTCTGGACCGCTGGAAACTCACAGAGGATCCGGCTGTCAGGTACCCTGTCAAGACAGCAAGCATTTGGCGAGAGGAATGGGTGTGGAAGGTCTTCTGCAGCTGTTGCATTTGAACGCATCGACAAATCTTTATACTACTTTACAAAGCTAGATCCCTCAACGACCCAGAGGTATGAAAGATGCAGAGGTATGAAAGATGTCTTCAAAATTCAGTAGGTTATTCCATGTTATTCCGTGTTCTCCTCATCAGCATTTGTATCCTCGCTGAACCTGGTCTTATCCAAGACACGAGGATGGATCAGGGAAATTGACTTGGCGAGATATGAGAGAGGTATGTATGATCATGTCGTCTCAAATTGTCCTCCACATCATTCGCGTTCGGACAGAAGGGTTGGTGACAGTTGCAAAAGCCAGGGCTAGAAGTGCTCACCCAGCACTGAATGCAACAATTGCCTATGATTTGCCAGACCAAGTCCCTATATTGTTAAATATCTTTTAATCATAGCATGTTATAGCATACTATGGTATGATCTGCTGTTCTCTGACCTCTGACGGAGATTGCCTTTGTTTTGCCCTTATATCTACTTATATAGTTGACAAGTCAGGGTCAGGGCTAAGCAATTATTACAATGGGAAGATAGAGGAAGGTGGTTCCCCAGCCCGAGTCATCCCGAGTCCATAAAAATCCTGAACCAATTCTTTGCAGATTCCTGGTGTCCCTTCCCGATTCACCATGTTTGATGAGACTGTTCTTCAAAGTGTTTTGTGTACCCCAATTGGAGTCCTGAGGTATGTCATCGAGACCGCCGATTTAGATGATGTGCTGGAAGTGGGGCAGACAGATTGGACTCCGAACCTGAAGGTTCACCGGTTCACCCATCTTTGCACAATGTTTCCGCAGCATGCATCAACTTCCCTACCCCATGGACAGCAACATGGAAGGACATATTACTACTGACTCACACTGATAAATTTCATCATATTCAGTTGTCTATGCAGATATTGATATCATGTACAAACATGAAAGAAAGGAGTCAGAACTTTTCAGCCTTGTCGTTTGTCTACTGGCTGCTAGTTTCCCTTTATATAGAAGTCCCCGTCGAGTTGGTGCAACCTTTGATGCAATGGATCAAATGTATTTCCACACGCTCCAAGCTCAAGTTGTTTTACTTTTTTGCCAACTCTGCTTGTTCTTTCAGTGGAATGGTTCCCCTTTGGGCCGAGATCATTGTAATTACTCTCTTTCTCGCTTTGCTTGCCATTATTGTCATTGACTCTAGCTAGCTCTTCCATTCTCTTTGGATCTTTCCAGATTTCGTCAGCCAATTTCCAACAATTTTTGGCTTCTTCAATGTCCTTCTCTCGCCGATTTCTTGAGTCATGAGTCCTTTCTTTTTGCGGCCAGGGGATTGTCATGCGAAATGGCAGAGATCCGAAGTCAGCTGCAGAGCAGGTGCATGAAAAGCTGCTTGCAGCAAGGGAGCAAAGATTGATCTCTAGAGACAAGGTCACTGTCATTGCAGCATGGAGAGCAAGGCGGGCCTGGATCCGACACCAGAGATACTGAGAGCATCTGAGAGCGAGGAGCGGGAGAACAAAATTACTGTAATTCTCGCATACTTTGGCAACGCCCTGCTACCCAATGCTGCAGTATCAAGATCAGTCTTGGCAAGTCGTCTTTCTATGTGTTTTTTTCTTGGCTAAAAATTGTTGGCAGAGGACATCTTTAACAATTAATTTAACAACATGTTGTTCTTTTTATTTATTTTTTATGGATGTGTTTTTGCAATGTTCTTTTTTGACGGTGGTGTGGAATGTGCAATGTTGGCAATGCCATGCAGCTGTGTGGTGACCGTTTCACGGCTCCAGGTGGAAGCTCAAAGAGGAGGACGTTGACTCTTTGACACGTGCGAGCCACAAAGACCTTAGAGCCCTGGCAAGATCTGACAAGACTGTGGCAAGATGCAGACAGATGCTGTTGCTAAAGCCATCTTTAAAGCCGAAGCATTGCTCAAGCTTTGAACTGTGTTGTTGCCCGAACAAGCTCCGTGAGCATGCCATGCTGCGAAAAACCCGGGAACATAATATACATATATATATATATAATATTATATTCAATTACTCGTATTAGCTACTAACAAGTTACTGCCCTTTCAAGCTTTCATCCTCATGTTGTAGAATGTTGCAGAATGTTGTTGCATGAAATGTGTGGCATGTGGCGGCCCTTCGCAGCCAAGGATATGTGTTGCGTCAGTATGATGGCAGCCGTGGTGTGCCTGAGCTTCTCGAGGAAGCGAGCGGTCAAATAGCCGAGGATAGCGAGAAGACTGAGGCCGTCTGAAACGGAATGAAACATCGCTTCAGAACGATCTTTTATGTTGTTTCACTGGAAACTTTGAATTTGAGGTGGTATGAACTATTTATACAAACGACTTTGAATGTGGAAATAAATCACTCTAAATCTAGTGTACTCAGCAGACACTACACAGAGTCGTTTGCTTATTAGTCATTATTGTGTTTTACATCTCTTGTCATCTCTTTCGTCCTTCCTCCCCATAGCACCGCGTCGGCTCAGGATGCCTTGCCAGAAAGTAACGGCCTCTTTACCGTGGGCAGGCCATTTGATCATATTTGACATTAGTTTTCAGACATCGGCCATTGAATGGCCATTGCTAACGGTTGCGTTTGCAAGTGGGGCTCAAAGGCATGCACGATCATGAACGTAAAGATAGTCACAAGCAGGTTGGTACGCACAAAGAAGACCCACGCTGTATGTTGAATACTGTATGAATGCAAATGATTGATACATATCCTCGTGCTTTGATGTTTGCAACATCCTTCAGCCATCCGTATTTTTTTCTTCCTTTTCGGAGGTTTAACCGCCTCGAGCTCATTGACTCTGTCGCAGATGCGCTGGTGGTAGGTTTGGGGCTCAGCATCCAAGAATTCATGGCACGGGTATTTGTGCACACATGTGCACACCCAGCACTTGAACGATGTGAATGAACAGGTTTCCTAAATCAGTAGTTTTGGTATTTCGATCTGCAGGTGATGCAAACCTCACATTTTCTGCTCTGCTGGCCGATCACCGGGAAGGCGGCTGGTGGCTTCAGAAGTTCTCTGCAGGTTTGCTAATTAATGCTTTAATTTGCTTTCCTTTTTCAAGCTTATTTTCAGGCCTTGGACATGTCGGTCGGCTAGTTGCAACAACATTCGAGACCCTTGACATTCTGAGAGAGTGGCTTGGATGCCAGTGGCATGGGCATGTTTTGATGATTTGATTTGATGCATCTCAATGAATGTGGGTTTTCAATGTGTACTTGAACTTGTACCACTTGATCCCGTTCTTCTTTTGGTTGGATGTTGTGGGCATTGATTGCCGAGGCGCTACAGTGAAATTGACCAAACCATCAAGTTGCTAGAGGACAAAATGTGATGAACTCAGTGTTATTATTCTACCAACCTTGCTGAAGCCTCCTGCTGCTTCTCATCTTGTGCTGGATGTTCTCCCGTGGGATCGAGATCAAATGAGACGGACGGCCACCTTGGTCGGCCTTGGTTCAACATCTGATGGATATGTTTGGGCCCAGGTCCGAAGTGCTTCACAACGTGGATGGTACCAGGTTGGTGCAAAGTAGTGAGGATACCACATATCCATTACATATCCCATACCCCCCAGTCCCAGATGTCTCAGCTCATGTCTCAGCGCATGCCTCAGCAGCTCATCCTTGGTTTGGGAAATTCTTCATGGGATGTTCATGGGATTTCATGGGGTGGTCTGCATGTTGCCAGATTCTGAAGCCTACATCGGGATGACATGCTGAAAGTGTTTTCAATATTTTTTAAGTGTTTTCTTGAGCTGGCAAAAGTTTGGCTTTTGGCCAGGCTTGCAGTTGACCCACGCTTCAAGGGCATGGAGAACAAGTTTGGTGCTGTATACTACAACTTTCCTCACGCAGGTCTAGCCATCGCATTTTTTTGTGTCTTTTTTGTTGGATTCCTTGAGGCTTAAGGATCTAAAATCTAAAAAGATAATGAAAGAAATTCATTCATGCGGCGCCATGCGGTCCTGAATTCCAGTGAAAGAGGATGTGAATTTGTGTGAAATAGATTGAACAAATTACTGTAAATAGAGCATGATACTGTATAGAACATGATATGCGGTGTTGAGCCAAGCTCGCAGGAGTTGTTCAAGGCTTTTTTGACGGGCACCCATTCGTGCGTTGGGTGCTCAGATGTCTTTGGTGGCAACCAGTCATGCCAATCATTTCATAGCATTTGTGCCCGCTTTGCTGGGATGAACTGTCACATGAAAACTCAAATATGCGCAACATGTGCAGCCGTTTGGCAGGTTGGCGGCATGAAAACCTGATGCAGCTTCGCTGCATTCGTGGCAGGGGTTCTGCTTCAGCTTTCGGTGCATGATGCTGGGAGTCGCTAACCACGACCGAATTGTGTGCACTCGCAGAATTTCGTCTGATTTCGTAGACATTTGCAGCAAAGGAGACTTGAGGCGGAACAACCGAACAAGGCGTGATGCGTTTCATGTTTCGAGATGCGAGAAATCCCAGGCATTTATTCTTCAGAGCTTTGCGCGGCTTCGTGAAGAAGGGTGGCATCGTCAAGGTTGGGCCTGCATGTCTTGCACGTATTCACTGGGTGCACCTTCATCAGTTGCAGCAACCGAAAGCGTTGGTGAAGAGATATACGGTACAATTACATTATAATATATATATATATAAACAGTATATAATTAATTACAATATATTACAATACATGTTTCCACATACATTCACCACTTCTATAATCTTTTATGCGTATCATCAGTTTTTATGAATAATGTTGTTTTATGTAACATATAATAAATATATTATAAATGCTACATCATTGTACTAATTATATTGCTTGTGCATTTCTCTCCTGTACTGTACACGCTTTGTAATTCCAAGGCAGGAAGTGTTCCAAGGATGCCTATATAAGGTCTAGAGATGTCTAGAGTCCAGAGATGTCCAGAGTGAAATTTGTGTTGGTCCGGTCCTCCGTTTAAATTCCCCCTTTTTGACCTGGAGGTGGCATCTAATGCATGTGCCACTGGGGTCCGCTTCTCTGACATTGTCATCGGAGCGTGCCTCGTTTTCTCGATGGCTGAGAGAAGCTCCGCCAGTTATGCACTTGTTTAGCATGCTCGTTTTTCTTTTAGCTGACCGAACAGTGCAGCATTTGAACTCTGGCAATAAAGGCAGAAGAGCGAGTTTGTTCACATAGAGACCTTCCCGTTCCTGGAATGGCAGCCACTAGTTCGCAAGCTCTACATCGTACATCATAAGATAATTGGGCCCTTCCTGTTCAGAGTTGCCTGAAAATCTGGAAAAGAAGCCTGAAACTGGCTAAATCACCCAAAAGACCCCAAATGCATTTTTTGACAAATCGAGTTGCGCTTGCGGGATATTTCTCAATGATTGTCCAATGCTTGTAGTTGTAGCTGTAGCATTTCGAAACCGTTCAAAGACGTTCAACGCGCATTTCATTTGTTCCAACAGCAATCCAATAGCTACAATATGCTACAATGTTGTAATTTGTTGTAATCACATCTGCCAGCAGTAATTGTTTTGGCTGTGGCAATTCGACGCCCTGTTTACTGTGATTTACTGCGCCTGCCAAGGCTCAGAAATTACGGACGATCATATGGTGATCGCCGCGACAGAAAGAGGCTGAGCGCTGCAAGTTGATATTTGCCTACATTTTGATACATTTTGTATCAATTTGCATATGTTTTTCATCAAAGTTTGTTCTCATCAATTTGCATTCTGTTCTCATTAATTTGCATTTTTTCTCATTTGTATCTATATTTATTTGCTGTTGTCCCATTTACTGCTACCCCATAATATGTGCACATGATTGCCATTGCCTGAAACATCCAAAATGTCACGCATGTTTTGTGCCTGGAGGCGGCCTGAGGATGGTGAGATATATCGGTCTCAGAAAGCGCACAGTGATATGGTGTATTGTTCGTTGGTTGCATTGGAATGACGATGCACATCGATGCACATTGAGTCATGGCATGTCATGGCTACTTTTTAAAGCATGTTCAAGCGCGCAGCATAGCAGAATCGAGCTGAATTTGAGGTTTTCGGTACGAGACCCTTGGCCAATGGATTCGAAGGGCTTTCTAGGGCCACAACCGGTTTCATGCGTATAGAGGATTTTTTCGAAGACTTCTGCATGGTACTTGAGCTTGTGCAGTTCGCCAAAAAAGGACAATGATTTTTGAATGCGTTCTGCATGCCAAGGGAAACCTGACAGATGCGAGATTTGTATAATTGTGTATTTATTTCATTTTATTTCGTCTATTTCGGCATGTTCGGGCCTTTTTATGCGCCTTTTATGGAATTTGTCCAAGGCCCTCGGGTGACGTAGTGTCGAAAGCGACTATCCGCTACCCACCTTCCAAAGATCAGCTGATCGGAGCTCAAGAAGGTCGTTTGCAGCGAATGTCAAGAGCCTTGGCACACAAAAAGGTCGCTTACATTATGAAAAAATATGAAATTATATATATACATCATTATAATGTATTAATGATTATTATATGATATTATATGAATATATTATGTTATATATATATACGTATATATAATATAACATAATAGACAATATGATAATATATGTGTATATACATGCATCCACGCATGCGTACATACATACATATACATATTATATATATATATACACATGCATTTTATATCTTGTTGCTATTGATTCTGAAATATCAGAAATGCATTGAAGTACCAGAAATGTCAGACAGTGCCATGGGTACAGGTGGGAAGGGGAATCCAGAATACCGGATTGTCTACAACACATAAATTTATGACTTGGCAATCTCTATATAACTATATAATAATGCACTCATGCAATGCCTTGCAACGCAGCGATTCGTAGTACAAGTCCACTGAGAGCCTGCCGGTCCGGGCAAGGCCATGATCGCGAGCGACGCGTGCAGGCTGAGTTTCTGCTTCTGAAAGATATTTGCTGTGTTTTTTTTTCCGAAAAAAATCAATATATTTAAAGTTGATCTATTCTTGAAATTGCTTCAATGGCGTCCCACCTCAACATGAACGCAGGAAATCTATGAGATCTTCCTCACCTATGTTCAGGGAGTCCACGTTGGATGAGAAACTGTGTTTCTGCTGACCAACGCGCTTCATTGGTTTGCAGATGCTTGCAAGCCTTTCCCTTTGGAGAGTTTTGCTGAACCAAAAGTTGTCTAGCAGAGGCCCCTAGGTTCAAAACCTGGGAGTTGCTGTATGCTGCGCAGATATCCTTTCTGCAAGCTGCTTGCATCAGATTCTGAGTCGGAAGCGGGCCGGAGCTTTATTATGTCGATCAAAAAAACCTTAGTGTTCGCCAGACCTTTTTGGACAGAGTGACGCAAACGTGCACGGATGGATCAAGTAAGAAGCTGTCAGGGATGCATCAAGTCGTGCTGAGTTCGGCATAGTGCAGCCATGCCGCCAGTCATCATGATTCATGTCCCATCAGCCTTCAATAATTCCAATAGCCTTGACATATATTGACATATTGCATGCATCAGAGTTTCATCATTTTTCTGTTTTCGTTTGCAGATGTTTGAAGATTGGACCGCATATAGGAACCGTAGAACCCCATCAGACTCCATCAGCTTTCCGCTCGATTGTTGCATCGTTTCTTCTGAGGCGAGGTCGGCAGTACCGTGGCGCAGGCGATGCGTTCCCACTATATAGAATATATAGAATACTAATGAATATTATAGAATATTAATTATATGGAATACTGTAACAGTTTTACTAAATAACATATTGCATTTCTCAAAATGTTGATTGAACAAGAGCAGTCACGAATACTTCGACATTATGATACGTGGAACGGCTGATCGATTCACAAATTTCACGTTAAGTCTTGAAATAGTGTCACTTCTGGTGGACAGACCAAGGGCGACCACAGAGCAACGGCTTGGAAGCACAAGGCGAAACACCTGAAACACCGAACAGTGCTGACAGCAAACATCACTTGACTTTGTTCATCGGATTTCATTGGTGAGGCGAGATTAGAGGTAAAACACATCCTATATAGCTTATATTTAATACTAATTGCACTGAGAATTTTTGTCTGGATGACACGCACAAATCATAAAGTGTCACATTCATTTACCTTGGGCATCGACGTAGCCCTTTTGTGCTTCAAAGAAAAAGAGGCTCGCATGGAGCGTGCCTAGGGATTCGAGGTTTTGTGGGTTATGAGCCCAAAACCTGCTACCATGGATGCGCTAGAGGACACCAAGGACCCTGTGAAGCTGGATGAGGCTCCACGTGGTCCACCTACCAGCTATGGGCCGATACAACGTGGAGATGATCGAGCTCTGGCGGTGAACCCGTTCTGGTCTGAGAAGGTCAGGGATGACGCCTTGCTCAGATCTTTGCGACCTCAAGGACTACCAGAGGCATCAGCATCCAGAGGACCATCAGGACTGGAGGATGGGTCGGAGGGTCTCCCAGATATGAGACAACTGGTGTCAATGGTGCTTCAACAGAACGTGCAGCTGAAACAAGAACTAGAAGAACTCAAGGGGCAAGTGCAGTTCCAAACTACAAAGGTGGTTGAACAGGTGGTTGTGAATGTAGGGGAGGGACAGCCTGGTGGACCAGTAGAGCCAACCCTGCAGGGAACCACTCAACAACTGTTGCCACTGGAAGACGTAAAATCAGAGGTGAAATCAGAAGAAGTAGAAATTGGAACTGGAGTTGAATGGAGAACGCCCCCAGAATCGGTGTCAGCCAGGAAACCTCAAGGGTTAGGGGATACCGCAAATTCGAATGAATCCCAACGGAATGGACAACCTGTCTCAGGTGCTGCAGGAACACAGGAACCCAGCACTCAGACTCAGGTACTTGGTCAGGTGGCACAAACTCTGACTTCCCTGGTCGCCCAGCTGTCTGCTGTGGCTGGATCGGGTAGCGGAGAACAAGTTCAGCCTTGTGGACAAGGTCAACGAGTTGGTCAGTGCCAAGGACAAGGGCAGGGTCAACATGCAAGTGGAGCTGACGGGCATCTTCCCGAAGGAGGGCCAGGTCAAGCACAGTATGGAGCCCTTCATTATGGAGGTCAAGGTGGGCACCCACCTAGTGGAGGACCAGGGCAACCACCGAATGGAGATGGCAGAGGACATGGCTTTGGAGGCATGCCCTATGGACAAGGATCAGGCCAGGGAGGCCACGGAAGAGGGAATGGTGCTGGCTATGGAGGTTATGGAGTACCCCACATGGCCCCGTTTCAACTGCCACAAGACATGATGTGGTATCCTGGAATGGCTGAGAATGTGAGATCAGTTGAACTTCCACTGCTTCCTGGTATCCGAGAAGGCGAACTAGGAGGAACAGTGGTGGGAGATTGGATGACTATGGTGGCTCCTATCATGAAGAGCCTGTCGATGAACAGTACTGCATGGTGGGAGGCTGTGACTCGAGCGGCTGGTGAGGCCTATCAACTATGGCTTGGATCGGACCCTGTGAATCGTCTCTATGTTGGACCGGACATTCCCAGGGAGTGCTACACCACATGGGCTCGGGTAGAACAACGAGGTCAGAGCATGCTTCTTGGAGCTCTACCTGAAGGATTGAAGGGTGAAGTGCTGTCGACACGCAGTACCAACACCGTGGAGATTCTTTACCGGATCTATGTCAGGTACCAACCTGGTGGACTTGGAGAAAAAACCCTGCTACTACGACAACTGGTGGATGGGAAAACAGCTGGAGGACCATCAGAGTTTGTCGAGCAGGTCCGTGGATGGAAGCGCAACTTGCGCCGAGCTCAGGAGCTGAACGTGACCACTCCTGATCCAACTTTGCTCATGGGAGCTCTGGATAAGATGTCTAGCACGATCATCAAGACATCTTCACAGATGGCATTCAGATTGAACTCAACGAGGGCACAGCTGATGGTGGACATCAACCCTACGTTGGCCAGTGTCACCAACTATGCCGACGCCATTATGGGAGAGGCTGAGGGACTTCTTCATGCTGGAGTTCAAACTCAGACCACTGCCAAGGTCAAGGCGATTGATGGTGGAGTTGTGGAAGCCCCAGCTAAGGGGGATGGAAAGGGAAAGAGCTCAGACAAGCCAGGCAGAACTCCGGCTTGCAAGTTCTTTGGGACTGATGATGGATGTAAAAAGGGACAGGACTGCACCTACCAGCACGATTGGTCGACTCTGGACAAGAAGGGCCCTCCTCGATGCAGCTCAACCAAGCACTCAAGGCGAGATTGCACTGTCAGGGCTATGACAACTGGTGGTGGAACACCGGATGCTGGAGGAAAAGGAAAGAAAGGTGGTGGCAAAGGAAAAGATGGAGAAGGAGCTCCACCTACCCCGGCTGTGAAGAAAGCAGACAAGCCGGAAGACACCTCGAAAGGGGTGTGCAGTGATGCGCCGGCTAGTCACCCTGGAGGAGAGGGGGACTTGGGCCGTGCTGCTCCTGCGGTGGCGGCTCATCAAGAGCTTCTCCAAGAGGCCACCACGTTGCTGAAGACGCTGCGGGGGCCAGCTCTTCAAGCAATCAAGCTCAACAGCCTCGAAGTCCAGGAAGAAGGCAAGACATTGCTGGACGGGGGTGCAACCCACGCACTTCGAACGGCATCGGACTTGGAAGAGTGGAAAGCCGCAGTGGAAGTGCGGGTGGAGCTTGCACAAGGTTCGGTGACGCTCCGCCAACTCCCTTGGTCGAAAACGCTCCTTTCACTGGCACCAGTACAAAGCATCGTGCCGCTGGGAATTTTGGCGGAGATCGGATACGCCATCAGGTGGGAGGGGACGACCTTTGAGCTCACCGATCCCTCGGGATGCATCCTGGACACGGAGCTGGATGGAGCATGTCCAACGGTCTCTGAGACACTTGGCTTGGAGCTGATCAAGGAGGTCGAGAGGCACTTCATTCAGAAAAGAGCCCGGCTAGCGGTGCTTCGAGGAGAAGGGAATCCTGGAAATTTGACGGCGGAGCATGTCAAGGAGCTGGAGGAAATCAGAATGATGTTTCCACTCATTCCTGAGGAGATCTTGGTGAGAGTACTTCCAAGACGAGATGGCCGCGATCAATGGCGTGAAGGGGATCTTCCATGGAATCGCCACCGACGGAGGAGATTGAGAAAGGCATCTCAGGTGATCATTCACCTCTTCTCAGGAAAGGATGAGAACTTTTGGAGGAAGGAGCTGGAGAATCAACACCGAGCGGTTCTCTGCTTGGACATGGAACTGGATCAGAGGCAGAACCTGCTGAGAGATGACATTATGGAGTTTTTGATGGAGCTGGCCGATAGTGGCAGAGCAGTGGCATGGCTGGGAGGACCACCATGCAGGACTATGTCAAGGCTGAGGTATCGTCAACCCGGTCCTCCGCCATTGAGATCAAGGGAGGGAGCAGAGCGCTTTGGACTCCACGGACTGGATGAGAGCCTCAAGAAAAGAGTCATTGATGACACCATCCTGTGGCTTCGTCAGTACTACCTCTACCACAGGGCCAAGAAGGTCTCTCAGCAGAAGGTGCTCTATCTGTCAGAGCAGCCGGAAGATCCGGAGAACTACTTGGAGGAGGAGATGATCAAGAAGCAGAGGTACCCGAGCTACTGGGCGTTTCCAGAATGGAAGTGGATGAAGGAGACCAACGACTTCATTGAAGTCCACTTCGATCAAGGTCGAACAGGCCATATCAAACGAAAGCCGACTACACTGGGCACCAATATCTATGAACTTCAACATCTACAAGGACTACGTGGTCCTGGGTCATCACGAGAAGGAGGAGCTGATGAACTCACTGTGGAACAGAGAATTCAACTGTCCCGCACTTGGGCAGCTTGGTCCCCAGGGCTCAAAAACGCCATTGTTACAGCTGTGAAGAATGAGCTCGATGGAAGGATCAAGAGACTCACGCTGGAGCAGTGGAAGGCTCATCTTCTCAACGACCATCAACCCTACTATAGGGGCTGCAGAACCTGCTTGGAGGCATGTGGGCAGTCGAGGCACCATCGGAGAGTTGTGACCCCCGACTCCTACACTTTGGCCATTGACTTGGCAGGGCCTTTCAAGAAAGGAGAAGACCAACTGGGTCATGGGAGATACATGTTGGTTGGAAGTTTCACTGTGCCAGTCTCCAAGGATGGACGAGCACTACATCTGAAAACAGAGGAGGAGGATTCAGCCCATCGCTGCGGCAACCCGAGAGTAGAGGGGGGCCGGTTTGCGTCGGCTGCCAGTGGCGCTGAGGATGATGATCACCCTGGAGGAGAGGGCAGACCCATCCCAGCCCCTGGACCCATTGAAGGTGGAATCTTCAATGATCCGGATGATCCAGAGGAGGTTCAACAGCATGAAGCAGGAGACGATCCTCTCTTGGAAGAAGATGATCAAATGGCTTCACTTACCAAGGACGAGAAGAAAGATGACACTGAGGAATGGAAAAGAAAGATCGAGGAAGAGCAGAACTTCGAGGTGAAACAGATCACCCTGGTCGAGATTCTTCCCGACAGAAGTGGGCCAGCAGTCATCTCTGGGCTGTCAAGGATGCATGCCCGACTGAGATATCTTGGACTTCCTCTATTACGATTACACTCGGATCGAGCGGGAGAACTTCGATCCAAGACGATCAGAAAATGGGCAGAAGATCGGAAGATCTACCGGACCTACACCGATGGAGACTCCTACAAGTCCAATGGAAGGGCTGAGGGAGACATCAACATGATCAAGAAGCAGGTGAGAACGCTGCTGAAGGAGACGGGTTTTGAGGCATCTCTTTGGCCTCTGGCGGCTAGACATGCTGCAGAACGTCGGATGAGATTGCAGCTGGAAGCACTTCAGTGTCCAACCAGGCCAATTCTCCAATTTGGAAGAGAGGCCTACGCCATGCAGAAGATCTGGAATGAGAAGTACCAGGACTGGAAGATGACTCGTCGCAGGGTCACCATCATGGGCCCCGATGTGGCGATGTCAGCATCGATGCCTGGGTACTATGTCAGAGGGGAAGACGGGAAGTACTTCCACTCGTCAGATGTGGTCACTGCAGAGGGGCCGCCACCCGAAGCTCAACTGGAGGAGGCTGAGCTTGGGCTTCTTCAAGATCATGGAGGTCGAAGAAGGATCACTGGGAAGACCACGATGCTCAGCACTTTGAGAGCGGATGAGAACTCACAAGTTGCAGTCTCCGAAATTGAACAGAGACGACTTCGGGGGCTACAGCTTCTGATGGAGGAGTTGGACATTCAGGATACGGACTTGGATCAGTCAGCAGAGTCATCGACTGAGGATGAGAAGACAGGATCTGATCGATTCATCAGAGCCTTACTGACTGATGTGGAGGGATTGGCAGACCAGCTGATTGAAGTGGAGCAGGACCACCAACATCAGGAAACAGTTGATATCGAACTTGCTGCTGAGAATCAGGAGGTCTTTCTCCAAACACGAATGTTTTCTCTGGCGGAGGTCAAGGCCAATCTGGCGGAATGGATTCCCAGCATGAAGAGTGAGCTGGACTCCCTGATGATTGAGACCGGTGCCATTAAAGAGATCACGTGGAAGGAGGCCGATCGATTGAGGAGAGAGGCTGAATCCAAAGGAGTGCTGTTCGAGAAGATCCCAGCCAAGGCAGTTTTCTCAAGAAAGGCAGGCAGTGGAAAACGAAAATGTCGTGCCTGTGCCTGTGGAAACTACATGGCTCAGAGGGACCAGTTGGACACCTATGCAGGTGGCACTGGAGCCACAGAAGTTCGAACAGCACTGAGAAAAGCTGGTTTGGAGGGTTGGAGCGCTGTAGCTCTGGATGTGAAAACGGCCTTTTTGAGAGCACCACGGGATCATTCCAGAGAAATTGTAGTGGTTCAACCACCGGCTATCTTTGTCTTGGCAGGACTATGTGGTCCAGACACACTTTGGCTGGTGGAGAAAGCATTGTACGGACTCACCACCTCGCCGAAGGAATGGACTCAATTTCGGAATCAGAGCCTTGGAGATTTCAGATGGCATCAGAACGGTTGCATCTATGAGGCTCAGAAGACCAATGACCAAGACATCTGGAAGATTGTGGCGCTCAGTCAATCCCCTGCAGAGCCTAGCCGGTTTCCCAGAGGAGGAGAAGCCGAATCTACGATGACTGATGGTAAGACCGTTGGTCTTTTCGTCACCTATGTGGACGACATCCTGGCCGTTGGTGAGAAGGAGGTGCTTCAAGGATTTTGCACCAGAATGAAAGAGGAGTGGGAGGTTGGAGCACCAGACTGGGTGACCCCGGATGGCCCATCGGTGAGATTCTTGGGCATGGAGATTGAGCTCAAGGACCAGAAGTTCCGGATCCATCAAAGGGCCTACATCCAGAACTTGCTCGAGAAATACCCCCATGAGAAGCCGGGATCATTGGCTTCAATCCGTCCGCCTGAGCCGGAGGATCACATTGACCCCAAGGAGTGCAGATTGCCCAACGTCAGACTGGTGAACTGCTTTGGGTAGCTGGTCGCACACGACCAGACATCAGCTACGCTGTCAACCTGATGTGCCAGTATTCAACCAAAAGCCCCAGGGAGGTTCAGAAGATTGGAAAGGAAGTGAGAAGCTACCTCAGATCCTCTTTGGGATTGGCACTAGAGTATGGGAAGCTCATCGAGGGAGACTTCGGAGAGGAGAACACCCAGCGACGATCCAGACATGAAAACCTGGTGGAAGTCTACACTGATGCCAGCTTTGCTTCCAATGGACTTCGAAGCATGAGTGGTGTGGCTGGATTTTTCGCTGGTGCTCCGGTGTTTTGGATCACCTGCCGGCAGAGCTTTACGACCCTGTCTACGGCAGAAAGTGAGCTGATGTCACTGCTCGAAGGCCTGACTGCACTTCGATGCCTCCGATCGATTGTGGAGATGATTCAGGAGGAGAAAGTGGAAGGACGAATGTACAGTGACAGTACGGCGGAAATTAGCATTGCCACGGGTACGACAGGATCATGGCGCACACGCCATTTGAGGATCAGAGCTCAAGGGCTACATGAGGCTCTAGAGCGGGGGGAGGTGACCCTTGAACATCAGCCTGGACGGTGTCTAGTCGCTGATGGTCTGACCAAACAGCTTCAGGGAGGACCACTTCAGCGATTTGTTCAAGCACTGAAATTGGCGGATGAAATTCAACAGGTCATCCAACTTCAAGCCCTGAGGATTCATGGTGGTGACGGACCGATGGCGAAAAGGCTGGTGGATGGTGTGACTCTGATGACCATCGCATCAGCACTGATGTTGACACCTGCAGAGGCAGCGGACAGTACCTCACCTGATGATGAGGAAGGTAGTTTTGGATTGATCCTCACCATCCTTGTGATCTCAATTTTGATCGTGGGCGACCTAATGACGAGGTTTGGGCTGCCCAGATTGAGATCATGGCTTTTTCCAAAGGAGGAGCTCAAGGTCAAACTCTTGAGTGAATCAGCTTCACTTCCCACAAGGAGCACTACGGGATCTGCAGGCTTGGATCTTTGCTCTATCCAGGACTACCGGATTGGACCTGGAGAATACCAACTGGTTCGAACTGGACTGGCAGTGGAAATGCCGAGTGGAACCTATGGAAGGCTGGCTTCAAGATCAGGGCTGGCATCCCATGGCATTGAAGTGAGCGCTGGTGTTATTGATCGAGACTTTCGTGGAGAAGTCAAGGTGTTGGTTCACAACCAATCAGGTCGTGAATTCTGGGTGCGAACCGGTGATCGCATTGCCCAGTTGATCGTGGAGAAAGTGATGGAGGTGGAGGTCAACCAGGTGGAGACTCTATCTGAGACTTCTCGAGGAATCCGTGGTTTTGGAAGCACAGGCTTGGAAAGGCCTGGGGATGAAACTTCGTTTTCCGTGAGGTCTATTCGAAGCCTCAAAGTGGAATCACAGTCTCCGTCTGGGGGGAGCTCCGCTACCAGAACACAGAGAGGGGGGAGCACCCAACATTTTCCTGAGAATCGTGGCCTTGGAAGAGGCACTATTTCCATGTCGAGGTCAACTGTGCAGACGAGCTCTACCTCCCAACAGAGTCCTTCGACACAACAGAGCCCTTTGACACAACCGAGCTCTTTGACCCAACCGAGCTCTTTGACCCAACCGAGCTCTTTGACCCAACAGAGCTCTATGAACTTGCCTACGACGGGAACCACGATGAGAGCATCATTCAATCAGAGGGCGATGACATCACCTCTTGGGAATGATTTGGTTCCTGACTATCCAACCCGAGAAGTACTTGGATGCCCCGGACTGCTGCGATGGGATTTGATGACACCCATACAGTGGATCTCAAAACCGGGTGAATCAATGGATGCCTTGGTGGAACGTTCAGGCCTTGGGAATTTCTGGCCGATCAAAGATCAGGAGGTGAAGAACATGGTGAAGGATTTTCTGGAAGCTCCCAAACGGGATCAGTGGGTGGAGTTCCAACTGAACTCTACAACTACGTTGCTGGTGAGAATCCACTCAACTCCTCGGAAACGGATCTATGACTTTGATGATGGCACATTGGATCGTGCCTGGATCTATGGGAGGCTTCACCTCACGATGGCCTACATGTCCGACGGCCACTTCCAAGTGATTTCTGGCTACAGAATTGGAAATGGTAGCCTGTACTTGGATGAGAAGTGGACAGGAGCTACGTTTTTCATCAAGGCCCTGAGAACTTAAGGGCTTGGGCCTAAAAGGCCAAAAAAAGGTCTCCAGACTTTTTGTAGTGCCTTCAAAAAGGGGGGAGTGCACTGAGAATTTTTGTCTGGATGACACGCACAAATCATAAAGTGTCACATTCATTTACCTTGGGCATCGACGTAGCCCTTTTGTGCTTCAAAGAAAAAGAGGCTCGCATGGAGCGTGCCTAGGGATTCGAGGTTTTGTGCTAATAATTCATAATAATTCACTATATATATGCAGGTTCGATCATTGTGGAGCTGGCAAAATGATCAAATTGAGATGTCTCCACACAAGCAAGTTCAGGTTTTGGTTCCTCAACTGTGAGGGGCTAAGTTTTGTTCCTCATACAGTGTGCAGGAAATCCTTTGAGAAGTGTCAGAAGTGGTGTTATTATATTTGATTACAGAATATTACAGAGATGTCATGATATGACAGCATATACATACTTTGCACGTTGCACATTTTTGCACTGATAATGAGTTATTGACATTGAGGCGCGTAAAATTGCAAGCTGGGCACTGAGATTTTCGTGAGAAATGTGGCTTGGTGATAGTGGTCTTAGAATAGATTTGTTGTGATTTGTTGCATGCACTTGTGCATGGTATAGCTTTGCCATGCTTTGCCACTGTTGCCTTTGGCTAATGCAAATGAACTCCTCTAAGGTCCTCGGAGATTGTCTCCAAGCGCATCAGTTCAAAGCACAAAGCCTTCGCAACAGCCTCAGGAAGCTCCCAATCACATCCAATCCCAACAAAAATGATTATAGCATATTATAGCCAAGAAATACCGGAAACACAAATCTGCCAACCAAATTCAAATGGCATTCTATGGCATCGTAGTGAGTCACATTCATCCGGATGACCTCTGGAAAAAAAGAACAGGTCATGCCATGTTGAGGTTGCGAGTGAGGTAGAGATATTAGATGTAATTAGCTAGGAAATGCATTGGAAATGCTAGGAACAGTTCGGTGTTTGCAAGTTCCAATAAGCAACCATGACAACAAGTCACGGCCATGACAGGTCCACTTGGAATACTGGAACCCCAGGTGATGTAGGGTCCTGGCCTCAAGGTCAGACGAGTTTGGAGTTGCGCTGCACGCATTTGATGTGTGATGCTAGCTGCATGACCAATCATATATCAAAATGCTTGCCTCATCCTGCCAAGTTTGCTCCCAACCTGCTGACATGTTGTGGTTTCATGTGTTTTGGCATGGCTCAAGCTTTGCGAAGGTCTCCTAATCATATGAGAGCGGATTCGTAAAACCCGGCAAAAACTAGACTCAGACTATGGATGACTATGGGTATCTATAGGTGTTAGTACAACTTGTAACCGACATCATTGCATATTGCTGCAAGTTTCGCATGAAGTTTAAGGATGCTGTTGAGATGTGAAGCTTTTTCCAGCTCCTCATTCACACCTGATACCAGAGTGTCACAAAACTCTGCCACACGGTGTTTGCAACAGTGTGCACGTGCAGGGTTTGAAGCCGTTTTCCTGAAGCCTTTTTTCGTTTGGCGTTCACATATATATATATGCTTTGCACAGTTTGTCCTTTCTTTTGCATGTTTGATAAGGTTTGGTCCACTCACAGAGTTTGCTAAGCTTGGCTGGTGATGTGGTCCATCATTTTGTGCCCCTTGCTGCGTGCGGCACTGCTGCTTGGGTGGTTTGTGTTTTGGATGGGGGATGCATTTTCCTGTTTGCGGCCTTGCTGTTCTTGCCGCTCCAATGCTGTGTTGCCTCCTTTTGGGATGCTCACCACAAACCGTGGGGGTCCATGGGGCCATAATAGCCAATCTCTGCAAGCGAGCCATACTCTCCAGGTCTCTCAAGGGTTTCTCTATGTTCCTCCCATAGCTGCGAGAAAGTTAGCTTTCGATCGCCGGCTTGCTGTTGCTCGTACTGTTCATGTTTTTTCAATAGCTTTGCAGCTGTGATGAGCCCGTTGCTCCTGACACGAACATCATCAAAGACCATCAGCTTCATTCCTGCCCACTCTGAGCTTTGAGCGAGCAATTCATCAATTGCTGTAAGTGCTGGCTGCCAGTGCAACAAATCGCAACAATATGCAACACTATGCAACAATGAAATGAACTGCTGGGTTTCTGTTCTCGTCGGTTGAGGCCAGGGACATACAATGCCGACAAGCTCTCCTTGGCGCGGGCAGCAGGAGCACGGCCCAGACCTCATCCTCAAAGTCACACGAATCACACGAATCTGTGTTTTTATAATATATAATTATAATTTTAATTATAATAATAATAGTAATAATAGTAATATAATAATATACATGCTGCATATATATTATAACATTATAATATAACCATTATCAATGAATAATATGAATATCAATGATATATAAATCAGTGTTGAACATGTTAAATGATGTTAAACGACTAGAGAATTTTTGAACACATGCTCCATCGCTAAGATGATGCGAGGGGTATGATGCAACCACTGATGCAATTTCCAACACGTTTGCCGATATTGTTAAAGAATTGTTTCTTTCACGGGTCAGCTGAAATTAGTTGACAAACAGCTGCCGACCCATTAGCCTTAATGTCAGCTATCAAGCCACAAGGTTCGGTGCATGTCATCGGTTCTCTCCACCAGAAAGGCACGTCGCTCGAAAACCTAAGTTCCATGATGTTCCATGCATCAGATATTTCTCACAAGTTTTGAAGATCTATGATGAACTATGAAGAGGTCTTCCATGGTCTTCCCATGTCCCACGTATTGCTTATCGTCACTTATAGTAGTGCAGTTCACCAAACTGTGAGTTGCCATGAAGGACAGGCGCTCCGGGCC